CCACATGGAAGGTTCTGGCAATGGAATGGGTCATTTCTGTCTGCCTCTATAGCTGCCCCTTTGAGCAGTCCTTTGGAGCAGGAGCAGTATCAATGGGAGGCAGCATCATTAGTGCTGGAGCCATCATCAATTAAAACCTGTCCTTGGCAAAGATAGTTCCTCTTCCTTCTCATTTCTTTGTAGTGCAAGTACCTATTTTTAAAGAATAACTTGACTTGGCTGTCATTTCCCATGGTTGACAGAGGAACCATGGTTCTGTTTTAATCAAAAGAAATAATATTTGCAATGACAACAAAAACAGCCATGAACACTTACTGAGGACTTATCTGCTTTTTATCAACATTATGTATTCAACTTTTATGACTCTTGAAAAAGTGAGGAGAAATTGCTCAGGTAGACAAGTAGGTAGCATGCTGCAGTCCTCTGTCACTCATTTGTTCAGCTTGTTTCTCCTAATTCTTCACCTAAGAGCTCGGACTGCATTCTGAACATGTAGCAGGGAAAACGTGTTTGGGCTTTGGATTGAGAAAGGATGCAGGAAGAATGGGCATATTTAGGTAGCGGGGGTGAAGGTAACAGAAGCCTCTGCAGGCATATATAGAGTTGTCTTTAGTCAGTTCCATTGTATTTATGTAATGGAACCAAACAACTCTGATTTCAGTGTCCCGATGTGAACTACTGCTTTGAAGCTAGTTTAAGGCTGAGCAGCAAAGCAGAACCAGAACTGTATATAACTTGGGTGCACTCTATGCCATCAAGAATCCAGGTGTGACATTCTCCTCTAAATTGAGAATCTATGGCCATTGGTACATTTACTCAGGTAAATGATATGGTGACAAGACTGATTGAGTCATTAGTTCAGTGGCCAGGGTTCAAATGAGAAGAACTGTTATCTATATCTGTATCTATATCTGTCTATGTATATATGTATATATGTTTGTATATGTCTGTCTATCTGTCTGTCTATCTATCTATCTATCTATCTATCTATCTATCTATCTGTCTGTCTGTCTGTCTGTCTATTATCTATCTATGCCTTTCAGGGACATGGAAATACTCTTTACATGGGGTTTAATTAACCACTGAGACTTCATTTAATGGAAGCTGTTTAGAATGCTACTGGATGTTCTGGACTTTCATTTTGCTGAGTAGAGTCTATCAGCTGGAGGGTTTTGAATTTCCGTGTGAAGAGGAGATGGAAAGGGAGCAGGATTTGATGAGGTTGTGAGAAGGTTTTTCTCTGTAATATAACTTCTCTACTGCCTTCTGATGAAAATTTGATAAAATTTCAATTTTAGGATTGAATTGGTGTCAAATTTTGAGTGTACTAAATAGGCTCCAGGAGAGCACAGGATGAGAGCCAAGATTGTAAAGCTGTCCCCGCATACATAGTTTACACAGCCAAAAGAAACAAAAACAATAACAAAAACGGGGGATTGCAAAATACTCACCATTCCACTGAGTACAACAAAGAGGAGGGGCTCAGGAAACATTCATCTGTGGACTCTAATGCCATTTCCAATGCCTGATATGATAGACATTCAAGAAATACTTCTTGAACAAACTTTGATATTTTAGAAAGAATGAAAAGAAGGTGGTGAAAGAGTGGACAGTATTCCTCAGTAGTGGAAATAGAAAAGAAATATGCTCATGTTCACTCTGTAAGCGAAGTGCTTAGAAGGAGTGTGTGTGTGTGTGTGTGTGTGTGTGTGTGTGTGTGTGTGTTTTAAGGATTAAACATAGGCAGGAACTCTTCAAGAAATTCTATTTGTTGTGTTTTAAAAATAAAATCAGCAAGCCAGGTACTGACAGCACTTGAACCTTTAATATTAACTATGTCTACTTGAAAGAACCTGTTCATTATAGATATGTGGTGGGTGTAGGAGGAGTTATTTGGTTAATAAGAAACAGAATAAAAATAACCCACCTGGAGTGTATGGGGATTATTAGTAGATTGCTTTGTTTTGAAGACCGTGAAATGAGTCATGGCACACAATTTTCTTTTCATCATTATTATTATCATCATCATTGTTATTTCAACTTTCAGATTCAGGGAACATGTGCAGGTTTGTTACATGGTTACATTATGTGACACTGAGACTCAAGGTGTGATTGATCCCATCTCTGAGGTACTGAGCATAGTACCCAATAGTTAGCTTTTTGACTTTTGCCTCCCTTCCTCCACCCCCCCTCAAGTAGTCCCCAGTGTCTACTGTTGCCATCTTTATGTATAAGAGTACCCAATGTTAAGCTTCCACTTATGAGTGAGAACGCGCAGTATTTGGTGTTCTGTATCTGCCTTAATTCACTTAAGACAATGGCCTGCAACTTCATCCATGTTGCTGCAAAGGACATGGTTTTGTTCTTTTCCTATGGCTGCATAGTATTTATTCCATGGTGAATATGTACCACACTTTCTTTATCTAATCCACATTGACAGGCATCTAGATTGGTTTCACGTCTTTGTCATTGTGAATGGTGCTGTGATGAAAATATGAATGCATGTGTCTTTTTGACAGAACAGTTTATTTTCTTTGGTTGTATACCCTGTAATGGGATTACTGGATCAAATGGTAGTTCTGTTTTAAGTTTTTCGGGAAATCTCCAAACTCCTTTCCATAGTGGATAAACAAATTTACTTTCCCATCAAAAATGTATAAGCACTTTCTGCAAATCAAAACCACAATGCAATACCACCTTACTTGTGCAGGAATGACCATAATCAAATAATAAAAAAATAATAGATATTAGCATGGATGAAAAGGGAACACTTCTCCACTACTGGTGAGAATGTAAACTAATCCAACCACTATGGAAAACAGTGTGTAGCTTCCTTTAAGAACTAAAAGTAGAATTACCACTTGATGCAGCAATTCTAGGTAGATACCACAAATGGGTATCTACCCAGAGGAAAATAAGTCATACAAAAAAGATACTTGCACACACATGTTTATTGTAGCACAATTCACAATTGCAAAAATATGGAACTAGCCCAAATCCCCATCAATCAATGAGTAGATAAATAAACCGTGGTACATATATACAATGGAATAGTACTCAGCCATAAAAAGCCCTGAATTAATGGCATCACAGCAACCTGGATGGGATTGGAGACTATCATTCTAAGTGAAGTAACTCAGAATTGAAAACCAAACATTGTATATTATCACTCATAAGTGGGAGCTAAGCTATGAGAATGCAAAGGCATAAGAATGATACAATGGACTTTAGGGACTTGAAGGCAAAGGGTGGGAAGTGAGTGAGGGATAAAACACTACAAATTGGTTCAGTTTGGGTGATGAGTGCAACAAAATCTCACAAATCACCACTAAAGAACTGACTCATATAACCAAATACCACCTGTTTCCCAAAAATCTATGGAAACAATTTTTAAATAAACAATATATAAGCATTTTCTTTTCACAACCTCGCCAGTATCTACTGTTTTTTGACATTTTAATAACAGCCATTCTCACTGGTGTGAGATGGTATCTCATTGCGATTTTGATTTGCATTTCTCTGATGATTAGTGGTGCTGAGCATTTTTTCATGTTTGTTGGCTACTTGTATTTCTTCTTTCTCCCCTTCCCCTCCCCCTCCCCTTCCCTTTCCTCCTCCTCCTCCCCCCTTCCTCTCACTCCCTTTCCTCCTCCCCGCCTTCCTCTCACTCCCTTTCCTCCTCCCCCCACTTCCTCTCACTCCTTTTCCTTCCCCCTCTCCTCCTCCTCTTCTTCCTCTTCCTCCTCCTCCTTCTTCCACTTCCTCTTTCTCCCCTCCTCCTCCTTATTCTACTTCTTCTTCTTCCTCTTCTCTCCTCCTTCTCCCTCTCCCTGTTCCTCTTCCTCTCCCTCTCCTCTCTCCCTCTCCCTCTCCCTCTTATTCTCCTTTTCCTTCTCCTTCTCCTTCTTCCTCAGAAGGAGTCTTTCTCTGTCATCCAGGCTGGAGTGTAGTGACACAATCTTGACTCACTGAAACCTCTGCCTCCAGGGTTCAAGTGGTTTTCGATTCTTATGCCTCAGCCTCCTGAGTAGCTGGGATTACAGGCGCATGCCACTATACCTGGCTAATTTTTGTATTTTTAGTAGAGACAGGGTTTCACCAGGTTGGCCAGTATGATCTCAAACTCCTAATCTCAAGTGATCCGCCCACCTCAGCCTTCCAAAGCCCTGGGATTACAGGCATGAGCCACTGCATGTGGCCTGTATATCTTCTTTTGAAAAGTGTATGTTATGTCTTTTTTTTTTTTTTTTTTTGACAGAGTCTTGTTCTGTTGCCTAGGCTGGAGTGCAGTGGCATGATCTTGGCTCACTGCAACCTCTGCCTCCTGCTTCAGCCTCTCGAGTAACTGGGATTACAGGTGTGCACCACCACGGCCAGCTAATTTTTTGTAATTTTAGTAGAGAAGGAGTTTCGCCGTGTTGCCCTGGCTGGTCTCAAACTCCTGAGCTCGAGTGATCCACCTGCCTTGGCCTCCCAAAGTGCTGGGATTGCAGACATGCGCCACCACGCCTAGCCTATTATGTCTTTTACCCATTTTTAAAATGGGGTTTTCTGTGTGTGTTGAGTTGTTTAAATTCCTTATAGATTCTGGATATTTTATCTTTCTTGGAAGTGTAGTTTGTGAATATTTCCTCCTATTTTTTAGGATGTGTGTTTATTCTGTTGATAGTTTCTTTTGCTGTGCACAAGCTCAGAAAAGGAAAAAAAAGTTTAATTAGGTCTCATTTGTCAATTTTTGTTTTTGTTGCAATTGCTTTTGAAGACTAAGTTATAAATTCTTTCTCAAGACTAATGTCCAGGATTGTGTTTCCTAGGTTTTCTTAGAGGATTCTTACAGTTTGATGTCTTACATTTAAATTTTTAATTCATTTTGAGTTGATTTCTGAATATGGTGTAAGGCAAATGTCCAGTTTCAATCACCTTCATATGGCTGGCTAGCTGTCCCAGTATCATTTATTAAATAGGGAGTCTTTTCCAAATTGCTTTTGTCAACTTTGTTGATGATCTGATGGCTGTAGATGTGCAGCTTTATTTCTGGATTCTTTATTCTGTTCCATTGGTCTATGTGTCAGCTCTTGTACTAGTACCATGTGGTTTTGGCTACTGTAACTGTAGGGAGCCAGCCTCACATCACCTGTGGGTACCCCAAGTTCAGTGGCATCAAAGGAATGAAAGACAGATTGAGAGAAAAGGTGGGAACAGGGGACCATCACTTCATCACTTTGAGGGTGACAGTGAAGGCCCCACGCTCTGATCATCCACACTGTTTATTGATTACAATCACTTTGATCTATAGGGTAGTGGTGGAGTAATGGTGGGGAGAGGGTGATGATGGAGTGAATCAGTGAGGTGGAACTGAATCAGTGAGCCAGAACTGGTGTGTCATTCTAAGGACTGATAACAGTGGTGGTTTGGGAGTTTCACAAAACAAGAACATGTGGTTATCTTTAGCTTATTATCTATGTACAGCTGATGAAACTCGGGCCTTAAAGGGACCCTACAAGTCTGACTACATCATAATGCTATGAAGGGGTTTTACTTCCTTGAGCACAATGTTTATGGTAACAGAGCCGAGGTTACCCTGCACCGGAACATGAAGCATGAAGAGGCCTTCCTCCTCAGAGTCCTCCTGTGGCCTTCCCCAGTTTGTTGTTCCTTGTTTATGTGTTACTCATAACCAGTTTTGTGTAGGCACTCTGTAAGTCCTTTCTCCTTTGCAGCTTTTCCCAACAGTAACCTTATAGTATAGTGTGAAGTCAGGCAATGTGATGCCTCCAGCTTTTTATTTTATTTTTTGCTTAGGATTGCTTTAGCTATTTGGACTCTCTTTTGGTTCCACATGAATTTTGGAATTGCTTTTTACTAATTCTGTGAAAAATGATCTTTGTAGTTTGATAGGAATATCATTTTAATGATATTGATTCTTCCAATCCAGATCATGGAATTTTTTTCTCACTTGTTTCTGTTAAAAGTAAAACTTCAGCTGAAATAAACTTAAAGGAGTTTAATGGAGCAATGAATGATTCACGAATCAGGCAGCACTCAGAATCACAACAGTTCCAGAGAGATTCCAGCTCAGTTATGTGGTGGAAGAAGACTTATAGACAGAAAAAGGGAAGTGAAGTACGGAAACTGGAAGCTAGGTACAGAAATAAGTGGGTTGGTTACACCTTAGCGTTTGCTTTATTTGAACACTCAGCAGTGTATGACTGGTTGAACTATGTCTGCTGGGATTGGCCAAGACTCAGCTATTGTTACAGGCACATACTCTTAAGTTAGATATTTAATTTTGTCTGCATATTAAGTTAGGTTACAGTTCATCCACAAGGACTGAAATATAGAAGTACAGAGTCCTTCTCAGGCCATATTTATTTTGGTTTAACAATTCCCACCTTTTGGTCATTTTCTCAATTTTAAGAGATTGACCAAAAATTTAGTGTTTGATGTCACTATCATCATGGTAAATATACTTATTTGGTTTTGAAACCCTCTGGAAAATAGTAGAACAGTGGGTTTTGCAAGGTGGGATCAAAGACTGAGTGGAGGGTAACTCCTTATGCTGGAACATCCTGTTTGTAGGAGAAAAATAAAAACTGGTGTGTTCTGGGTTCTATGTGCTTACTTAAAGTCTTAGTTTGATTACGTCACATTTAACCTGAGAGACTCCATTTTTATTTGGTTCGAACTACATGAGCTCAGTTCAAAACAATGGCCTCCCATAATTTTATTTAAAAGTTCCCCCATTGTGGTCAGGTTGTTACTTAGGTGTGAGTGTGACCGAAATGTAGTGCCTTAGTGCCATTCTCAGTTACCATCATTTTGGGTTTCCAGTCTCAGCATGTCATTCACAGGTTACGGTGTCCTCATGGTCACACTTTTTTTTTCAGCTCATGCCATTTCAGTTGAAGAGAAACCATTTGACATTCTAGAGATGGCCGTATGCAAGCATTTAAAACCTTTGAGGCAATACAGCACACCAGAGAGATCACTATTATGACTATCAGGAGGATAATACCAAGCATTTGGAGTATGCTCCTTACCCAGCATGTCCGTAAACAAAACCACCTAAAATTAGATAGATCAAACAATGAGCTAAAGAGTCAACTTGCTTAACTAAGCAGTCTTCGTTAATATCCTATAACTGAATTTCTATAATCTATATTTGATTGATTTCTCCATAGTTTATAAAGCCCAGCAGCTGCACAGATACTTTTCTATTTAGCCAATTCTATTATGTAGCATAACTTTCACAAGAGACATTTAAAGTCTGTTGTGTAATGATAGCCTTTACAGTAGAATCTGCTACAGAGCTTATCATGAGGAATACATTTATACTGATTGCTTGTTTTGCTACCAACCATGGAAAAAGGATGTAACAAATGATGCCCTTCTAGAAGAGTGAAGGTCTCCTGGCATTGTTCTCTGTAACCCATGATGTGGGTTAACAGGAGTAAACCAATGTTCTGTTTCTGACTGATTATGAGGTAACATATGTACAACTAAAATTTTTCATTTACATTGGGCCTTCATTTTTTATCTATGAAAGTACAAGATTATCCATGTATAAGGCTGGCTGCAAAATCCTTTACAAATAAAAGTATTCCCCATAAGTGCATACAACGCACCCTCTTTTTACTTCTATTGTTCATAGAGGTATAAGCAAGAAAACAATGCTTAAAGACAAGAGTGTCATGATAGTAGAGAAATCTTGGTCTGTGATCTTGGGAAAAGCCGTCCACATCAAGGATGCCATCTTCTTCTGGGGAGAAATTTCCATGGTTAGCTTTACCTTAAGAATTCCAATGTGTATATAGTTCTAAGAATGTAGCGTGACCCTTCTCAGATGTGAGATTATGAACCTAAAGTTCAGTTTCCCAGAGTTTTGCTGTAGTGTGGATGGCAAGGACAATATTTCTTTGATGTTCGCAGAAGATCCAATCTTCAGGTTCTAGATTATGAAGGGGTTGATTGTCCTCAGTCAGTGAACCATAAAAAGCTTTCTTTACCTGGTGAAAATACCTGGTAACATAATAATCTACTGTTATAACATCAGCTCTTTTGCATGCAAAAGATTTTATACAACCAGAAAAACTGTATTGAAAATGACAATGGAATGAAAGGCCTTTATAAAAATGTTTAAATGGCCTATCAGGTAACCAAATGTATCTGAAACTTTGACTGTTTTCCTAGGAATATGGCTTTGACAAACCAAACATTAGTCATAAATTATTTTAGCAATTTAGAAGTCATATATTTATTTATATATTTAATTTGTGTCATTTTATCTTTTCCATGATGAATTATGGAGTGCAAAATCTTTAATAACAAAAGCTTAAAGAACTCTGAAAGGACAAGGTGACCATACTGATTTTCAGTGAGTCCATGCTTAATTACCGTTAGACTTATATTCTCTTGAATACCAGTTGTTTCTCCAAATTAGGTGCAAAGCACTGATAACTGATGGGTTATCATAGGTAATTTGATTTTAGACTATTAAGTTTATTTAAATTGTATATCTAAACAATTTCAGTATTAGCCAATGTGGCATACAAATCAGGCAAAGTGTTTTCTTGGTATTCAATTAATTTTTATTCTAGTTGGGTTAGCAGTTTTATAAACCAGTCAGTCTTTTCATTAAAGTTTCAGGAATTCTTACCCAGTACAAATAATATGATTTTAAAGGTATTAGAAACCTGTATGCAAGAGTGCTGTCAGGTCCTTTCCATCCTTTCATGAACCTCCTAAAAGACACCATATTCTAGGATTTCTTGTGCTTGTGAAGTTGTCAGAAACTGCATCAGTATTAAGCAGTTAACTGTGGAAATGACTTTAAATGGTCATAGTTAAAATTGACAAGGAAATTTGGCTATTTCTATGGTCTACAATAACATAATAACCATAGCTATGATTGATAACATATACTCAGACATATTAGAATTTTAAAAATCTCATACAATTTTGAAATAAATATTAATAACATTCATGAAAATACAACCTGAAGAAGGTTAAAACACTTGACAATGCTTCCCATGTAACTTAATATGTCAAATAATCCTGTTTACTTATCTTTTGGATATATCAGGGGCCCTCTGAGGGATCCTAAAGTTAGAGGTCAAAAAAAGGTAATATTGAAGCTGAAATTTGATTTTGGGAAGCCTATTACATGTGTTAAAGGTTTAAAACACTTGATATTTCAAAATAGAATTCCAGGTCACCATAAGTCATTCATTTAGCCAAAATGATGATCCCAAAATTTAAAAAAGGCAAAAACCTCGACTCATTGATAGAGGAAAGACAGCTCCTAATCTATCTCTTATGTTTCTTTTCTTTGGAAGTTTATTAAAAAAGCAAACACAAATCTTGCATTATCTTTTAATATGACATAAAAATCTTACTCAAGAGAAAAAGCCAAATTTTACCCTTGCATTAGTGTGCCATTAATGTCAATCCCAACCCCAATTCTTTCTTCTTTTTTTTTTTTTTAAATTATACTTTCTTTAAGTTCTGAGATACATGTGCAGAATGTGCAGGTTTGTTACATAGATATACATGTGCTATTCTGGTTTGCTGTACTCATCAACCCATCATTTACATTAGATATTTCTCCTAATGCTATCCCTCTCCTAGCCCCTTACCCCCTGACAAACCCCTGTGTGTGATGTTCCCCTCCCTGTGTCCATGTTTTCACATTGTTTAACTCCCACTTATAAGTGAGAACATGCAGTGTTTGGTTGCCTGTTCCTGCATCAGTTTGCTGAAAATGATGGTTTCCAGCTTCATCTATATCCCTGCAAAGGACATGAACTCATCCTTTCTTATGGCTGCATAGTATTATATGGTGAATACATGCCACATTTTCTTTATCCAGTCTATCATTGATGGGCATTTGGATTGGTTCCAAGTCTTTGTTATTGTGAGTAGTGCTGCAATAAACATATGTGTGCATGTGTCTTTATAATAGAATGATTTATAATCATTTGGGTATATACCCAATAATGGGATTGCTGGGCCAAATGGTATTTCTGGTTCTAGATCCTTGAGGAATTGCCACACTGTCTTCCACAATGGTTGAACTAATTTACACTCCCACCAACATTGTAAAAGCATTC